ATTTAAAAGGGGAAAAACAGGGAAAAGTAAGGTTATAGGATAACAAAAAGATTTTGGTATGAAAGATTGGATATTTAGATTGGAAAGGGGAAAAAGTATGGAGGATTTAATGTTTTCAATATTTGGGAGTGGATGTTCAAAACGGATGGTCTATGAAAGATGAAGTGAAAAAAAAAAAATTTTAGAGGGGGGAAAAGGGGGATGGTGCACTTGGGGTCTGTGGAGACAAAGAACTTTGTCCTTGGAGGCAAAGAGGGGATTGTAGAGAGTATAAGTTTTTTACCAATCCCTTTTATGGTTTTTGAAGCATGGGGGATGAATTTGCAGGGGAGGGAAGGCTGGAAAGGGATGGGGGGGTGTTTATGTCGAGGCAATGTGTGGTGTGAATAAAATGCAGAAATTGAAGTTTTTGGGAAATTAGGAGGGGGTCGGGATTTCCAAAACTTTTTTCCAAAAAGGCTGAGGAAGGGTTTTTTTGGGGGGGTTTTGGAAATGTAAAAGGAATGGAGCGAAACAGAATGACTTTAAGGTGTATCAGGGCTGTAGTGGGGAAAGGGAAAGGGGGGGTAGGGGGCGGGGCCCAGGAAAGGGTTTGGGGGGAGGGGGGAAAAGGGGGTTTTGTGTTGAGGGGGTTGGGGCTTTCCCGCAGGCATGCCTGAGCGGTTTGATAGGAAGGGAAAGGGGACAAATGGGTTTTTAAAAAACTTGATGTGCCGTTGGAGTGTGAAACCCAAATAACCTTTATTTTTGGGGTTTAGGGGAAAACCCCAGGGGCCGGGCCCTTTATCCCTGGGGGGAAGTACATTTCCTGCAATCGACGAGGGGTGTAAATTTGGGCCCTTTAAAAAATGTATGTAAAGCACCCTTCTGGCCCAAAACAGTGATGGGGTTTAATGATGGTGAAAATTTTTCTTTTTTTGGGGCCCCCCTGCCTTTTGGGGGGAATCGGCCAGTGTGATAATAAAAAAAAAAAAAAAATAATTAACAGGTTAACCCAAAAACTGGTAAGTATTTTTTTTTTTTTTTCTTTTTTTTTTTTTTTTTTTTTCCCAAAGGAATTTAAATGGGGGCCCCAAAAAGAAAAAAAAACCCAAAAAGGGAAAAACTTTTATCCTAAAATTAAACCCCGCAATTTTTTGGGTTTTGCCTTTTTTAAAAAAAAACAATCGAACATCTTTAAAAAAAAAAACACAAAAAAATTTCCCCCCAAACCCGGGCCCTTTTTCCCCAAATCCTTTTAATGAGGTTTATTTCCCCTTTCTTTCCAGTAAGTCCCCCTTTTAAAAAAGGTTTTAATCCCTTCCAAAGAGGGGTCACATCCAAAATCTTTTTTCCCCCTAATTTTCCCCATTAAGTTAAATTAAATAAAATTTAATAACCCCCCCCACAAACCCAATCCCCAAATTTTTGATAAAAAATTTTTTTTTTTTGAAAGGAATTTAAATAAAAAAACTGAAAAAGGCCCCGCACAAATTGGACCTTTTTGTTATTTGGTCTTTGAAAATTGTGGGTTTTTAAAGGGAAAAAAGAATCCTTTCTTTTTAAAAGGGAAATCCCCTTCCCCTTCTTTAGGGGCTCCCTTTTTGGGGTTACTTTTTTTTTTTCCCCTAACCCTAACATGGAAAACCCCCGAAAAAAATCCTTCCCAAAAGGGGTTCTTACCTAACGTTGCAAGAATTTTCCCCCAAAAAAAAAGGGAAAAAATTTTCCTTTTAAAAGCCCAAAAGGTTGAAAAAATTTTTTTTCCCCATAAATTTGGAATTTAAACCCAAAAAGGCACACAAATTTCTAATTCTTTTTTAAGTTGGGAAAAGATTAAATGGGAAGGGGCTTTTTCTTCAAAGGGGTTCCCCCCAAAACCTTAAAAATCCTTTTTTTAATTTTCCAAAACTAAAATTTCACCCTTTTTACCACAATTGGCCCCTAGAAACTTTCCTTCCCGGTTTCCCTTAAATTTTTAAAAAGGCCCAAAACATTTTAAAATAATACCGAAAATTTCCGGGTGTTTTTCTTGGTTTGGGTTAAACCCGGGAACTTTCCCCTTTAAAAAATTTTTGGGGCACCAAAGGACCCCCAATTTGGAAGGGGTTTTCGGGGAAACCCCCAAAATTTTTTTTATGCCCCTTTTTAAATTTCCGGTTTTGGGGGCCCGGCAAAAATTTTCCGAAAAAGAAAACCGTTAAAACGGGAAAAAATTAAAGCTTATGATGCCATCGTTAAAAGGGGGGGGCCCACTTGGGGAAATTAACCTTGGGAAAACCATTGGGTTTTTTTCGGAAAGGGGGGAAAAATTTTCATAAAAGTTGTTTTTGGGAAAAAAAGAGCTTGAATTTTTTACCGGGGGTACGAATTCTCTTTCCTTGTTTAAAAAGGAAAAATTTCAAAGTTTTTAAAAGGGCCAAAAATTTTAATTTTCAAAAAAATTTTTTTTTTTTCAAAAGAAAAGGGGAAGAAATTTTTAAAAAAAAAACAAAAAAGAAAAGAAAGGGTTGAGAAAAAAATTTTTTATGAAATGGTTTGAGAAAACATTTTTCCCGAAGTTTAAAAAAAAACAAAAAGTATGAAAATTTTAAGGGAAAAATTTTGCTCTTCCAACCGAATTTTTGGAAAGTGGGCAGCGATTTTTAAGAAAGGTGATTTTTTCCCCACTTCCCACCCCCCAATTTTTTGGGGCCCAATTAAAATTATTCCATCGACCAAATTTTTTAGCAAATTTTACTAGTATTAAAACCCTTTTTATCAATTGAGCACAAAAACACCCAAATCCCAAATGGGTTTAACTACAAAAAAAAGTGATTGGAAAAAAATTGGGAATTTTTGGGCCAAATTTTTCACAAAATTCAAAAATTTTCCCAATTTTAAAAAAGGGTCCAGAATAAAAAATTAGGAATTTCCCCGGGACTAAACAAAAAATTTCCTCTGCTCAAAGTTATGTTTTTTAGGGGTTTACCCAAAAGAATTCCATTTTGATTTTTTTTTTCATAAATGAATTTTTATTCAAACCAAAAAAAAAGAAGATTTACTTTAAAAAAATTTTAATAATTTAAAATTCATCATCACATTTCGAAATTTTATTAGACCCCCCCAGCGGCGTGTATTAAACCCTGTGAGGTCGTTTTTTTTTTACTCTTGAAAAATCGACAAAAATTTAACATTTCCTCCCCACTTTGAGGTCCGTTTTAAAACCATTTCCCGTACTAAAACCCAAACAAAAACATCCCCCTTTCTGTAATAGTCTTCCATTTTATCAAAGGGGACCAAAAAAAAACAAATATAATCATAAAAAACATACGAAAAAACACTGCAAAGTCGCTGTTTTAATAAACAATCAGGGTCTCAGTTTTTTCTCTCATTACACACTATGTTCTGCAGGATTTGTTTTATGTGGTGCACACATACCACATAGATGTATTCTCTCATATCTAGGCCCAAATTTACCACTCACAGCTTATCAGAGTGAGCTGAGCTCATGGCATAGATCTACGGTTTGGACCCTGAACGTAAAGTCATAGATCTACGGGACAGACCCTGAAAGGGTTAATAGGGCTCTCGCCTATTTACTGCATGTTAAATTAACATTATTCACATACCACTGATTCTTTTTTAGGTACTATTTCACTATTCATGGTAGCACATTTTTGCAGATTTGGTTGTTAGTCCTGCATTCAGCTAAGTTTTTATATGAAAAAAATTCAACTGTGACTGAAGGTCCACATCGGTCTCCATCGACAAAACCAAGTCATCGGCAAAGGCTACGGAATGACCGTTATGTCCTAATGTAACAGTATATTAATAGTACACATGATAGAGGATCTCCTTTTCACCATTCTATTTATTAAACCACATCTACCGGGAATGAATGTAGTGATTTCATCAAACAATTTTTGGGGCTCAATGATTAAAGTCGGACCTGCTATCAAGTGGTTAACCGAGTCATATGCATTTTTAATATCCAGAAAAAAAAAGCTGACAGAGGTTTATTAAACTTCTTTAGTTTATAATATCATAGCAACATACCATTTAGTTGTAATCCATCAACAGGGAGAAATTTTCTCTGGGCAGGATGGAGCAGAACCCATACAACATAACAAGATGCTACTGCCCAGTGGAATGGATGGGGAGGCAACTGGTATACATCCCACAGAGACACACTAAAAAATAATTACCACTCGCATATCCGTCAGCCTCTGACCATCTGTTTCATTGATAAAATACCATTATAACCTTGATGTTTTTTTCATCTTCCATCAACCTACATGCCAGGATGTACCACCAACCAAATACGTTACATCTCTATCATCTTGCGCTGAAGGCTGGGCAAAGTGGCCTTACCAACATGGCCTGGCTGTCAAAGCTCTCGCTTCACACATGGAGCGCCCGGGTTTGATTCCCAGCGGGGTAGAAACATTTCAACGTGTTTCCTTACACCTGTTGTCCTGTCCACCTAGCAGCAAGTAGGTACCTGGGTGTTAATTGACTGGTGTGGATCGCATCCTGGGGGGACAAGATTGAGGACCCCAATGGAAATAAGACAGTCCTTGATGACTCGCTGCCTTTCTTGCGTTATCCTGGGTGGCTAACCCTCCAAAGTTAAAAATCTGAATGAAATCTTATCTTATCTTCCTTACCATCTCATGTGCCTCCTGTACTTGTTTAACACTTTTCGCTAGATCTTGGGAGTATTTCCTCTGAAAATCACGATAAAGTAATTTTTCTCTCATTCTTCACCCTCCCTCAATTACTCGCAAACTGGGTAGATATTCTGCTTCTATCTCAATCAGCTGGTTGGTCACACTAATCATTGTCCAGTTGATTCATAATTATTTAGTAGTTGGCTGGATGGTTGATGGGGGTTTAAAGCCTATCGACCACACGAGGATCATAAAGGCTGCACATAATTGTTGTACTGCCTGACACGAAAACTTTAATCCCTGTAACAGGAACTAAAGTAAGCTCTAAGTGAATAACTAAAATGTAATGAACATGTGTCAGTGCTCAATAATAATCCAAACTGAGACAAACACAGGAGGTTGCTTGATCTGTATATTTCGACCGCCTTCTGGAATTCTCTTCAGTATTATATATACGCTGAGAGAAATATACCTCTCGGAGTATTTATTCTATTATTAATAGTTATATAACAAAAATGCAATTGAAACTCCAGGTAAGCATAAAACTTTATTTTGATATTTATGTTTGTTAGGAAAATTTTGTGTTGTCTCTGGTTCGATATTGTTTTATGGGCATTATCAGTTTTAATACTTTAAAAACTCATTTTTTCCAGGTTGAACTGGAAAGTTCTGGACCAATATTAGTACTGACTTTTGCCTTCATTGCTGGGTTAGGCTGGCGTAGACTGGGCACCGAGGTAAGTGTACCATTGTTTGTTGTATCTTATATATGGCATGTTTCAGAGTTCTTCTTTTCTTTTTTTTTTTTTCAACAAGTCGGCCGTCTCCCACCGAGGCAGGGTGACCCAAAAAAGAAAGAAAATCCCCAAAAAGAAAATACTTTCATCATCATTCAACACTTTCACCTCACTCACACATAATCACTGTTTTTGCAGAGGTGCTCAGAATACAACAGTTTAGAAGCATATACTTATAAAGATACACAACATATCCCTCCAAACTGCCAATATCCCAAACCCCTCCTTTAAAGTGCAGGCATTGTACTTTCCATTTCCAGGACTCAAGTCCGGCTATATAAAATGACCGGTTTCCCTGAATCCCTTCACTAAATATTACCCTGCTCACACTCCAAGAGCTCGTCGGGTCCCAAATACCATTCGTCTCCATTCACTCCTATCTAACACGCTCATGCACGCTTGCTGGAAGTCCAAGCCCCTTGCCCACAAAATCTCCTTTACCCCCTCCCTCCAACCTTGTTGAGGACGACCCCTACTCCGCCTTCCTTCCCCTACAGATTTATATGCTTTTCATGTCATTCTACTTTGATCCATTCTCTCTAAATGACCAAACCACCTCAACAACCCTTCTTTAGCCCTCTGACTAATACTTTTATTAACTCCACACCTCCTAATTTCCACACTCCGAATTTCTGCATAATATTTACACCACACATTGCCCTTAGACAGGACATCTCCAATGCCTCCAACTGCCTTCTCGCTGCAGCATTTACAACCCAAGCTTCACACCCATATAAGAGTGTTGGTACTACTATACTTTCATACATTCCCTTCTTTGCCTCCATAGATAACATTTTTTGTCTCCACATATACCTCATGCACCACTCGCCTTTTTTCCTTCATCAGTTTTATGATTAACCTCATCCTTCATAAATCCATCTGCTGACATGTCAACTCCCAAATATCTGAAAACATTCACTTCTTCCATACTCCTCCTCCCCAATTTGATATCCAATTTTTCTTTATCTAAATCATTTAATACTCTCATCACCTTCCATTATGTTACCAATAACCGTTCTCTGTTTATTCTCACTCGCCTTTGTAAAATACATAGAACAATTACTAAGTAAGCAAGTGGTTCCCAGAATTTTTTTTTCTTTAACTTTCAGTATTTATTTCACTCATAACACGAGTAAGCTTCATCCAGTCGTCTTCAAATTTTCAACACTGGTATACGGTAACTAGGCCAAGCTTCTAGGAATGAGTGACATTTGCAGGTGCTCTGTGACCAAAGTTGTAGGACCCATTCCCATCATCCTGGAATGGCTGCAATAACTTTCAAAACCCTTTTGCAGCATGTCTATAATTGTTCATAAAAGATGCCTCCTAATTCAACGATGGTGGAGAGTGAAGATCAAGAGTGTAGGCAAACATCTGCCAATTTTGTGTGTAAAATAGTTGGAAATTTTGATTCCCATTAAATCATGTTAAATATATTTGAGCTAACCTCTTCTGAATGGCTTCAATATTCAATGAATAATGCATTTTTTTGGCCAGGATAGTACTCATTAAGTTTAGTTAGTGTGCTGGCAAGTCTGTCAATGAACTAAATTTATTTTATAAACATGGAATAACTGGAATCAAAGTTTCAGCCCAGGTGTTTCCCAGAGAATGTTCTTACTGGGACCCATAAGTTCCACTTTGCCAGTTTTATTAAACAGTGATATTGATTTCCAGTCAATAAAAATCGTGAATTATTATCGATTTCCAAATATTAATGTTGATACATTTCATAAAGGAAGACTCCCCAAGTTCACTGTTTTAGTGTAAACTTGAAATTTTAATGAAGTTGTTAAAGAACCCTGACTCGTTGGATTCAGTGCAATTACAAGAAATATTTTTTGATAGTCTTTATTAAAAGACAGTTTGACCTTCACTTTGACCCATTTAACTTTTCAACTAATACCTTTATTATGTAAATAATTTTAAATGTAATAACTTAAGCATTCATGTGTCTTAAAGGGAAGTATTTTTTATTGAAAATAGGCTTTATTAAAAATTGAACTTTCTTTAAAAATAATAAAACCTAATATTCTTTTTCTTAGAATATTATAGAGAATTTAAAATACAAAAAATGCATATAAATATTGCATTTTTATAGTGTTTTAATTTTCACAAATACAGTGGACCCCCGCTTAACGATCACCTCCAAATGCGACCAATTATGTAAGTGTATTTATGTAAGTGCGTTTGTACGTGTATGTTTGGGGGTCTGAAATGGACTAATCTACTTCACAATATTCCTTATGGGAAAAAATTCGGTCAGTACTGGCACCTGAACATACTACTGGAATAAAAAAAAGTTCGTTAACCGGGGGTCCACTGTATAGGGAACCTTTAGCTTGTGTTAGACTTGAGGCCTGACCAAGTACAGTGTTAGGTACAATTGATAATTTCAGAATGCCCTTTCGATCAGCTTCAGATTTTCAACCCTCGTCAACTATTACTAAGTGAAGGTTTGTGGGACGATTAATGAGTGCAGTTTCCTTCTCTCAGTTTTATCTTGACCATTCCTGAAGTTGGCCTCCAGGTTATAACTTTATCTTGACCATTCCTGAAGTTGGCCTCCAGGTTATAACTTTATCTTGACCATTCCTGAAGTTGGCTTCCAGGATATAACTTTATCTTGACCATTCTTGAAGTTGGCTTCCAGGATATAACTTTAGAAACCCTCCTTTGATCAGCTTCAAAATATCTACACTTGTGTATCCTATCTAAATAAAGGTTGTTGTTGTTAATGTAATGCATAGGGGTCTCTGTGCCACTTTTAATATCAAAATGGTATGGTATTATTTTGTAGATGAATGGTTCAGAGAACCGACATGTTGATAATTTATCAACATGTCGGTTCTCTGAACCATTCATTTTCAAATCTGTCAGACACTGCAACTTCTTGGGATCTTAATACTTAGGAATTCTTCGCTTGCCTAATTCTTGGGCACGACCTACTTCCACATTGAACAAATGTGACACGACCTATGACTGCTGCACCTCTCCTGCCATACGGTTTATAAGCTGCTTCTCCGCTGATATGCCGTATTCTATTCAAGATTGATGGACTGAACACGTCGACTCAAGGTTGAGGGACTGATTACCTCATTCTCCTCCTGTTCTTCAAGTTTCTCCTACGTTTGGACTGATGAAGCCACTGTGTGGCGAAACGTTTCCTCAATAGAGATACCCAAGAGTTGCACATGTGTCTAATTTATCCAGAGGTCATACTGCAGCTTTATACATCTTTTTTTTTTTAAAAATCCTCAATAAAGATACCCAAAAGTTGCACATGTGTCTAATTTATTGGTATTATTTTAATTTATTGCATTAATATTTTACCATGATCCTAGCGAGTGTTTCTTGATCTTAGAAACAGAACTTACCCTCCCCGTCCTTGTGTTGAAACCCTCCCAATCCACAGGCACTATATGACATTATAGTTACTATATGACTTTATGGGCATTATATGACCTTATGGGTATTATATGACCATATGGGTACTATATGACCTTTTGGGCACTATGACCTTTTGGGCACTATATGACCCTATGGGCACTATATGACCATAGGCAGTTGTAGGTACCACCAGAGGCATCGCTAGGGTTGGCGTCATCTGAGGCGGCATCTTTGGTGTCACCCCCACGAAATCCAGGGGCGGGGGGATGGGGGGAGTAAACTCCAGTTATGTCACTACTGCATGACCAGTGACTACTGTTTAGCAATGAGAACATTTAAGGGCCATACACTAAACAGGAGAATACTTCTCAACTTTATTAATGATAAATAATAGTAGTAATATTGAGGAAACATAAATATTGAGGAAACAGCCAACAGATTCTACATTTATTCATCTTCAACAATGCCCCCAAAAAACTTGAAAAATAAAGAAAAAAGTTGCAATATCAGAGAAACACTAATTCCTATTTGACCTTGAGTGCAGGTAACATCTCAATGATCAGATCATACATTTCCTTGCCTTCAATCCTGCAAAATCGTCTATCACTTCATCAAAATCAATGCTGTCAACTGACCCATTTTCTATGGATAACATTGCTATGTCAGAGATTCTGAATCGACTCATTGTGGACCGTAAATAGTTTTTAATCAGCTTCAACTTGGAGAAACTCCTTTCACAAGAAGTCACAGAAGCACATATAGTAAGGAACAACCTCAGGCAGTGTCAGAGATGGAAGAGATTCAATGAAATCCCATTCAGCTGTGAATGTTAGTACATCCAGTGCAGTCCAGTGCTTAACTTTTTCAAGATCAACAGCAGCAGCTTGCAGGTGCTGCCTTAGTCTTGGTATTTCAAGCATGAGCTCATTCTTGCATATTTCATTATAGAAGACTGTGAGTCTTGAAGCTATTACCTCCAATTCTTCTTCAGTAGCTTGTGCAAGATATTTTTTGTTTGGATGACCTGAAACATGGCTGCCACATTCTTGAATGCTTTTCATCATATATAGATTCATTATGAAAACGATCAATGCACTCCAACATCGCCCTCTTGTTTTCTTCCTGTAGAGTGAGTCCGGAATCTCTTGCCTGCTCCCCTACCATCCTTTTCTTTAACTTGATTCTTCTCTCTGTTGGAAATCCATACTTCTCACATTTCAAAAGTGCTGTTGTATTGAATTTTCCACTATGCGATCTCGCCCTTCATTCACAAATAATCGCAGTGCCTCTAGCTTCACTTTGTCAAGAGTTAAATCCTTAGTCTGCAAGTACTGCTGTGCAAGCTGAACCTCCCAAAATATGTCACACCAGAAATACAGATAACACACAAATGTGAAATCGTACACAGCAGGGAGAAGACCTTGTGCTGCTCCTCTTGTATGCAGATTTTCCCGTGGATCGCAAAGAGCTTCAATCGCTGCCACAAATTTCTTGAAAGATTCCGCTACTGGTTTCACTGCATTGTAATGAGAACTCCATCTTGTTGATAA